AGCTAATACTACTCTGGAATTTGAACAGGGAAAAGAGAATAGATTCAACCAGTGGAAATCAACAAGCAGAGAAGATACTGGAAGAGGTGCAGAGATGCCACACTGCTGAGAGTGATGCCAACCCTGAGAGGCAGGAGGAGAGACATCAGAACTGCCAGACTTGGTCAGGCAGCTGCTGCTGCATCTTTACAATTAATACCTACTACCTTGGTGCCCTGCGTGCTTCCCTGTATATACTGCTAGTTATACTTTTTTTTTTCTCTTAGCAAATTTTGTTTCTTGGGATGACCAACTAGGGTCAGAGATTTATTTTCAGAATACTTAATAAAAGTACTAAGCAAAAATAAAAGAATTATGAAACATTAGTACATTATTTCTTAAGAAAAAGTTGTCATAATTTACATTGCTCTATAAATTTTAGGAATTGTGGCTATTATTCAAGCATTCGATGACTAGTAATTGGAAATCCTATTATTTCTAAGAACAGTTGTTAAGAATAGTACTGAATACATTTGTAGGAAAGTACACCTCTTTGAAACCTTTTTCCCCCAAACATCTTTAGTAAACATGTAACATTACAGATGTAGCACGCCCAAAATCTAGGATCATAACTCCACTAGGTTTGATATTTGCATTTCCATTGAAGATTATTAATATTCACCCAGCACATTCTTGAGATTTATTAAAAATGTAGCCATTAACCAAAGGCCCTTGGGGCATATGTACAAAATTAGAGAACTGTAGTATTCAGTCAAATACTACATTAGCAATATTACTCATGAAAAAAAATGCCAGTGGAGCTCTGTCCATTAAAAGATAGTCAGACTTAGGCTTCCCTGGTGGCGCAGTGGTTGAGAGTCCGCCTGCCGATGCAGGGGATACGGGTTCATACCCCGGTCCGGGAAGATCCCACATGCCGCGGAGCGGCTGGGCCCGTGAGCCATGGCTGCTGAGCCTGCGCGTCCGGAGCCTGTGCTCCGCAATGGAAGAGGCCACAACAAGTGAGAGGACCGCGTACAGAAAAAAGAAGAAAAAAGAAAATTATTTCCTGACACAGATAGTACAAGAACTCAACTCACAAGAAAATCTGCCCATCTCTTCATTAAAACACATTGTTAGAATCCAACACCCTTTCATGATAAAAACACTCAACAAACTAGGTATACAAGTTCCTCAACCTGATCGCAGGCATCTACGAAAAACCCACAGTTAACATTATACTTAATAGCGGAAGACTAGAAGTTTTCCCTCTAAGATCAGGAATAAGAAAAGGATGTCCATTCTCCCAACTCCTATTTGACATTGTACTAGAAGTTCTAGCCAAGGTAATTAGGCAAGAGACGAAAGAAAAGGAAGTAAAAAGTAAAACTATCTCTCTTTGCAGATGACATTATCTTATATATAGAAAACAATTTTAAAAATCCTCAAAAATCGATTAGAACTAACAAACAAGTTCGGCAAGGTTATAGGATACAAGATCAATATACAAAAATCAGTTGTATTTCTATACACTAGCAATGAACACTCTGAAAAAGAAATTAAGAACACAATTCCACTTATTAACATCAAAAAGAATAAACACTTAAGAGTAAATTAAATCAAAGAAGCACAAGACTTGTACACTGAAAGCTATAAAACATTGGAAGAAATTAAAGAAGACTTAAATAAATGGAAAGACATCCTGTGTCCATGGATCGGAAGACTTAGTATTGTCAAGATGCAAAAACTCCCCTAATTGATCTACAGATTCAATGCAATCCCTATCAAAATTCCAACTGCCTTTTTTGCAGAAATGGACAAGCTGATCCTAAAATTCATATGGAAATGCAAGAAACCCAGATAGCCAAAACAGTCTTGTAAAAGAAGAGGAACTCATATTTCCTGATCTCTAAACTTACTATAAAGCTACAGTCTTCTATGTGGTTTTGGCATAAGAGTACACATGTAGATCAATGGAAAAGAACTGAGAATCCAGGTAAACCCACAAATCTATGGTCATCCAGTTTTTGACAAGTATGCCAATACCACTCAATGGTGGGAAGAATGGTCTTTTCCACAAATGATACAGGGACAACTGTATATCCACCTCCCAAAGAATGAAGTTGGACCCCTACCTCACACCATATATAAAAAATTAACTCAAAATGGATCAGAGACCTGAAAGTAAGAGCTAATACAATAAAAATTTTAGAAGGAAACAGAAGAGTAAATCTTCATGACCTTGAGTTCTTTAAGATACAATACTGAAAGCACAAAAAACAAGAGAAAAAATAAATTGGACTACATCAAAAGTTAAAACTTGTATGCTGCAAATGACATCATTAAGAAAATGAAAAGACAACCCCTTCATCTGAGAGAAAATATTTGCAAATCATATATCTGATAAAGTTCAGTATCCATAATATATAAAGAACTCTTAAAATTCAACAATTAAAAAAATCCATTTTTTAAAAATGGTCAAAGGATTTGAATAGACCTTTCTCCCTAGAGGGTATGTAAATAATCAATAAGCACATGAAAAGATGCTCAACATCATCAGTCATTAGGAAAATGCAAATCAAAATCACAGTGAGATATTAACTCACACCGACCAGGATGCTATTATTTAAAAAAAAAAAAAAAGGACAAGGAATAATTGTTGGGGAGGATGTGAAGAGATTGGAACCTTTATATATTGCCAGTGGGAATGCTAAATGGTTCACCTGCTTTGAAAAATAGTATGACAGTTCCTCAAAAAGTTAAACATGGTGTTACCATATGACCAGGAATTTCATTCCTAGGTATATACCCGAGAAAATGAAAAACCTATGTTCACACAAAAACTTGTACATGAATGTTCATAACAGCATTGTTCACAACAGTCAAAAAGTAAAAATAACACATATGTCCATCAAAAGAGAAATAGATAAACAAAATGTGGTACATCCATACAATAGAATATTATTCAGCAATAAAAAGAATGAAGTATTGATCCATGCTACAATACAGATGAACCTTGAAAAATTATGCTAAGTGAAAGAAGATGGACACAAGGGCCACATGTTTCCATTTACACAAAATGTCCAGAATAGGCAAATCCCTAGAGACAGAAAGGAGATTAATGGTTGTCAGGAGATGGGTAAGGGAGGAATGAGGAGTTACTGCAAATGAGTATGGGGTACATGAAAATGTTCTAGAATTAGCACATTTAGTGGTGATGGTTACATAGCTCTGTGAGTATACTAAAACCCACAGATTTATATACTTTAAAATGATACATTTCATGGTATGTGAATTATATCTCAATTTGTAAAAAATACATAAATATACTGTTAAGACCACCTCATATTTATTTAGTTCCACTTTTTAACTCCCCTAACTAGCCTTCCAAAATCACCTAAAGCTTATCAACAAAACCACAATGCTTACAATTGATCCATCAATTTAGTCAAATATCTAGTTACTACTTCTCACTCCCCTCCCTAGCCACTCACTTGCCTCTTGGCATGGTGAAGACATGTTTAACCTCACTTGTGTGGTTTTAAACAGAATAAGATGTGAATTACTAAACTGAGAAAGGGAAAGGCAGAAAAGATTTAGAAGAGGCAATAAAAAGAAGGTATCCACCCTTTCATCCCCAGCTACCCCTTAGAAAACTTTTGAGGGGATCAGGAAATCACATCCAAAAGATAATAAAAATTAGCTGATAACAATTCTCATTAAGTTAAATGTTCTAATTCCTCAAATCTTATTTCACACATAGCAGCTTTTCCATAATTTGATATGAGTCTGATCCCCATGCAAGTATGTTCTTCACAAGAGACCTCATTCTTACATACATGAAAAGTAAAATCTAAAAAACATATAGTTCAGGGGACAATAACACAACAGAAGGATGACTCACAGGTTAAAAGGATTCCCTAACCGAATTCCTATACACATCCATTATGGTGTATATGAAATATGATGAAATTTACAAAAAAAAATTTCATACTAATGTTTGGAAATCTATTTATTACAAAAAGGGGATGCACCTAATTATTTCTTGCATGCTACAATGCTCCTATCTCTGCCATGCACTGCAGCACAGAAAAGTGCATAAATAAAAACTGTATTTAATAAAAAGACACAAACATACAGATGCTCGATTACTTTCCGACCTTTTTACACTGAGTGACTGGAAGAGCTAATTAAAGGTGATTTCCCTTATGTAAGCCAAAGCTCTCAAGAAGGGGACGATGACCCATTATTCTAATTTTAAAACTATACTATACTTATATAATTTGTATTATTATTATTTTTTAAAAAAACCCTTCCAATGGTAAAGATTATCGAATGAATAAAAATACAGGTAAGAAAAAAAGAGAAAAAAATACAGGTAAGAAGTTAGGCAGTTTATCTCAAAACAAAAAAAATCTAAACTTTCCACTTCTGTTCAATGAACAAAAATAAACAGCCTTTCACATGGACCTGAAAGCTAAGCCTTATATTGATTTCATAATTTTGCATTTTACTTCCAAATGTTTCATATGAAAGAGTGGCTATGGCTAAAAAAATGAGGAAAAAAAAATATGCACAGCTATGGCCACACACACAATTCTCTTGTATCAGAGTCGAGGATTTAAACTCAAATACTGCTCTCCACTAAGGAAGTAAAATTCTCCTGCCCTCTGCATTGTAGAGAAGGAAAGCATGCAATTCCGTTGGGGCTCCAAGATCAAGTTTGTAACATACAGTTAAAAAGCAATATGTTAAGTTGAATAAATCCCTGTATTTTATTTTATTTTTTAAAATATGGAACGCTTCGGGGCTTCCCAGGTGGCGCAGTGGTTGAGAGTCCGCCTGCCGTTGCAGGGGACACGGGTTCGTGCCCCGGTCCGGGAAGGTCCCACATGCCGCGGAGCGGCTGGGCCCGTGAGCCATGGCCGCTGAGCCTGCGCGTCTGGAGCCTGTGCTCCGCAACAGGAGAGGCCACAACAGTGAGAGGCCCGCATACCGCGAAAAAAATAATAATAATAAAATAAAATATGGAACTCTTCATGAATTTACGTGTCATCCTTGCGCAGTGGCCATGCTAATCTCTGTATTGCTCCAATTTTAGTATATGTGCTGCTGAAGCGAGCAAAAATCCCTGTATTTTAATACAGCAAAACACCTGTCATTACTAACACTTCTTTTCTCTAATGGAAAAAAAAAAAAAACATTTTATAACATTAAACACTACAAATGGCCTCCACTCTGTCATGGGCAGAATTATAGAATTATTTCAAAACAATTAAAGTAATTGAAGTGTAGGAGGGGAAAACCTACCAAGTACAAAGTCATGGTAAATTTTAGTTTTAGTTTCAATACAACATTGCATAAATTAAGTAAAAGCACTACCCCAGACATAAATGATATAGCATTACTTAGTCCTGGTAGGTGAACTCCCAATAATATATACTCCCTCTGGCTTTCATCCACTAAGTGTATATTGGTATAGTGTTGATAGTTTAAAATATAAATCAAAGGATGCTCATCAAAGCTACATAAAATTAATTTGTTCAAACTATAGCATAAATGCAGATTATCCAATTCAATTCCGTAACAAATAATAAACTCACAATTGAGCTACACCAACAGTCAAAAGTTTAAGTGCTTATTGGGAATGTCTGGGAGAATTGGAAAAATCTGAAAGTTTAGGCATAAGTGTGGAATTGCTAAAAGAAAAATAAAAGTTAATGACAGAATGGGACAATATAATCGTGCTTGTGGATGACATTTCACAAGTCTATGGAAAGCTCAACAGCATGGGGCAGCAAATTTATTAGTTTACTTTTCAGGGGCAGAACTGATATGCCCAGTCCTCCAAGTACAGATGGGTCTGGAAAGGCAGGAAGCAAAACACCATATGAAAGCATGCTGAACAAACAGAGAAGTGTATGAAACCTTCCCTGACCAAAATGGAATTTTTCCAGAACATTCCATTAAAGTTTCAACCCATGTTACTTCCTCTTCAGTTATGACATTTCTCAGCCTGGCCCTTCTAAATAATGCAATGATAAACTATGAAATAACTGCACTTATTTGCATGTATGTGAATGAATGCACAACCGTGAAGTTTTGCAATTTAAAAACTCTATTGAAGGGCTTCCCTGGTGGCGCAGTGGTTAAGAATCCGCCTGCCAGTGCAGGAGACATGGGTTCAAGCCCTGGTCCGGGAAGATCCCACATGCTGCAGAGCAACTAAGCCCGTGCGCCACAACTACTGAGCCTGCGTTCTAGGGCCCGCGAGCCACAACTACTGAGTCCATGTGCTACGACTACTGAAGCCCACGCACCTAGAGCCCGTGCTCCACAACAAGAGAAGCCACTGCAATGAGAAGCCCGCACACCGCAACAAAGAGTAGTTCCCCGCTCGCCGCAACTAGAGAAAGCCTGTGCGCAGCAACAAAGACCCAATGCAGCCAAAAATAAAATAAATTAATTAAAAAAAAACTCTATTGAAAATCTGAGTTCCCTATACACTGGTCCCAAGTCCTCCTTCCTGACATCTAGAGCATCTAAAAGCAACATCTGATTTATTTTATTTTATTTTTTGCGGTACGCGGGCCTCTCCCGTTGCGGAGCACAGGCTCCGGACGCGCAGGCTCAGCGGTCATGGCTCACGGGCCCAGCCGCTCCGCGGCATGTGGGATCTTCCCGGACCAGGGCACGAACCCGTGTCCCCTGCATCGGCAGGCGGACTCTCAACCACTGTGCCACCAGGGAAGCCCCTGATTTTTATATGACCTATAAAAAGGGGCCCCAAAGTCCCAAAGAAAATATTTTTAAGAGAAATCCTTCGTGCCTTCTGAAGTTACCAAAAAAAAAAAGTATGTCCAAAGAGTACTGAATCAAAAGTCTGAAAACCAGGTTTCTGAGGTGTGCCCTGACACTAGGGTGACCAAGTGTCCAGTTCACCTGAGACTAAGGAATTTCCCAGGATGCGGGTACGTTTAGTGCTAAAACCAAGAAAGTTCCAGGCAAACCAGGGTAAGCTGGTCTCCCTACGGGTGACGACGTCTAAATCACAACCCAGTGGGAGCACAGCGGCCTGTGCTAACATTTAGATGGGATAAAGGACATAGGAAGGGGCAAGGTGAACCAGAAGGTCTCCAGGGCCCTTTAGTTGTAATTTACTATGACCCTATGACATATTTATACCACATTTGATTGGAATGTATATTTCATACCATAAGTGAATGTACTTTTATGTAGGGTCAGAGGGCGCTGGAAATATTTTGTGAAGCTATGCGTTAAATTTGGAGTTATATATGCTTAATAGCAAAACAGAGCTAGGAGTTTTCAGTTTTTTATTTTTCATTTCTATAGTAAAGAGGAAAAATAAGCTGCTTCTAGAAAATATCAAGCCAACAGAGAAAATTCTTCCAATACCAACATCCAACTTAATCCCATCTCTCCTTCTCCCAGATCACTGGAGACCTAGGACATCTGGACAAAAGTTTAAAAACAGGAAATATTATTTTGACTTACTGCCACCATGAAAGCATACATTTCCACATTTTTAAGAAAGTAAGAATTTAGAAACGTGTGCTTACAAGTAACTACAAAACCCAGGAGAAAAGCAAATGCAACTGTAGCAACCAGCAATAACAAAAGAGTCATAAAGAGCCTGTGCTCTGCAACAAGTGCACTGCTATGAAGAGTAGTCCCTGCTCACTCCAACTAGACAAAGCCTGCACGCAGCAACGAAGACCCAATGCAGCCAAAAATAAATTAATTAAATAAATAAATAAAAGATAAAGAAGATCTTGAATTGTTAGAGTATATTTACTTTCAAATATGTTTCCTAATTTTGGACATTTAATTCTGAAAAATCCCACTTAAGAGGATACAAAACAAGTCATATATTATAAGATCAAGTCACACAAGCTCACGGGCGGTACAATGAGAACAAACATTCGGGATTCCTCTTTCCTCCTTGGGCATTCTAATTTAAGATACCTGACTTACTGAGACTAATATAGGTCCTAATGAAAGCATCTCTGCCATGAAGACTGAGTTATGAGAAATTTCTAAAAGTACAACTATGAAAGAAGTGTTACTCAATTATTATTTTTTAAGGCAGTAACTCAGGGAAAGCTATAAGAAAATGCCTCTGTTCCTAAAAAACTACAACATCCATGATATATATTTTTTTCACTCATGAATGAACTATTCTATCAGGTCTCACCATCATCCTTACTACACGGGTGGCTGAACTGACATTAGCATTTATCTAACATGCTCCTTTATGAGAACTGGTCTTACGAAAACTTTGGCATCACCAACAAGAGATTTCTTACTAGTTACTTAAGGGCAGCCTCAAAGTCTGCTTGTGTATTTACATGTGTGACTCTACACATACCCATACAGGTATACAGTTCTCCTTGTCTCTTCAAAAAGCAGTTTCTCTTCCCAAATCAGTCAACAGTTTGTGCCCAAGTCTATGTCTACCACCTATGCTGTGGGGACATGAAGGTGTGTGTGAGAGAGAGGATCCCAGCCCTCAAGATAGTTATACTTTACTTGGGGAGATAAGACATACATTCTCATGAAGAGTTCTCAGTGCCAGAAAAATTGCTGGCTGTCTTATTCTTGTTAGTAATGTGGGGGTGCTATCACCTGCCTGTTATTTGCATAAATCACAAAGCCTTAATCAAAATAGGTAAGAAAAAATAAATCCATGCTACTTATTTCAAATATATTAAAATACAATAAATAACAGAGCTTATTTTGAGTATGTAATAAGTAACATACCAGTGTGCAATAGTAGGCAAGATGGGGCGACAGTCTTAATGGCCAAAATATCACTTAAATTCAGGAAAGGAAGTTAGGGAAAAGGAATGGTTTCGCTATTATTACCTCAGCAGTGACAACAGCAAAGAGTGTGGTTTCTCAAGGCTTTTCTTAAAACCCAGAGGTGTGTTAAGAATAAGCTGCTGGGCTAGGTTCCTAGAGATCTAGGTTTTAGCCCCAACTCCTTCACGGTCATATCCTCTCTTGCCCTGGTTTTCTACCCATACTGCTTGAGGCTGGAACTAGACGACGGCTAATATTCCTTTAATGAACACGTCTGGTAACTCTTTCTTTGATAAATATATCCAGGTCCCCTTTCCAACTCCTCTGCTCCCCCTCCCACCCCCACTAAATTACAGTGTGTAACATTAAATTATTCATGAATCTATGACTTTAATTTTTTGTGTTTCTATACTGACGGCCTTACGGCAACTGGTTAACAAAGCAAAATCCTAATTCAGATTGCTAAAATTCAGCAGCAAACAATCTTCAGTTTTACATTATCTAGTCCTAATAACCTAGCCAGATTAGTATGGCATATTATTCAATATTGTTACAAGAAGTTTTGGCATAGCTGTAATTGACAGTGGCGAAGATCAGCCCAAATAATTATGTACTCATTGTTTTTAGCTGACTTAAAACTGGCTTGGCTACACAGCAACCAAGAGTAAGGAAATAATTTCTTTTCTTGTGATAATCTAGTGACAACATCAAAGTATGACTTTGGTATAAAACGGCTATGTAAATATCCTTTCATCTTAAGTCTTATTAAAGCCATGGTGTTTGGCAAAAAAAAATTAAGAGCAGAAGAAGATAAGTACAGGTTGTAATATCAAACTATTTCCATTATCATTTTAATGTTGGAACTCTTGTTTGGACATCCAAATCTTAGGATAATTCTCACCTAGTAACAGCAATGAATTCAAATAAAATGAACTCCAATAAAATGCTAAGCAATACAAATACTCTTTTTAGTCATATCAGGACAGAGAAAAAAGAAATCCAAAATGGAAAAGGAAGAACACACTCAATCTTCCATATGAAGCTGTATGATAAGGTGAATAACAGAAGCAAACACAAATCAGATAATTGAGAAATATGCTGGAGAAGTTTCTCAAATACTATTCTTGCTTGTATCTACTAGCTCCACTATACAGTTTAAAATGTGGCCAAATTTTTAAAGTAGTTGTTAAACACTTCCTGCATCTGACATATGTTTCCAGGGTACTTCTGACATTGATATGAGAGATTATAAAACATTTAGAAATGAAAATGTTACTCTCCAACAAAAAACACTATAACTTCCAAGCTTCCTCTGCATTCACAAGACGGAAAAACATTTGGAAAATAGTAGCTTTCGGTTTTAAAATGTTCAAATAATATACTTTACAACAAACACGAAACATGTAATTGTTCAAGGCAAGGAAGAGACAAGTCTAAATAAAACAGGATCCTAAAATTTACTCTAGGAGTCATTCCTTTTCCTGTGCAGTCTCAATCATATTTACTCCATAATAAGTAAACTGCTTTACCCCTTCAGCTGGGAAGGACAATTTTTACTCTACCAAGGTGATGACAGTACCACTGCAGTGCTCACCCAACGAGAAATGCATGAATATGAAGTAGCGTCAACTCGATCAAATGAAGTGTATGCAAGATTTGATTTGCAATGCGTTAATTTAGGAACTCAGCGGAGAGGCTCCTACTATATCTAGCTGATCTAAACTTGAGCTCATGATAACACTGCACGAAGCTATGGTAGATAAAAGTGATAGGTAATGCCAATAAGACGATTCCACTGACAACACAAACTCCTCCAAGAATTCTTCCAGGCATTGTGATAGGATACATATCTCCATAGCCAACTGTAGTCATAGAGATAATCACCCACCAGCAGGCAGCAGGGATGCTGGCGAAGTCCTTGTTGGATGTTTCCAGGTCCAACCCATGTTCAAGAAGCTGAGAAAGTGCACTAAAGATTGCCATGGCAACACAGATGAAGACAAGCAACATAACCATCTCTCGGTAACATCGTTTGAGAGTCAAACCAAGTGTCTGAAGACCAATGAAGTGACGGGCAAGCTTAATCACCCAAAAAATCCTCATCATTCTAAGCACCCTCAAGGTGACTCCAGCCCTCTGGAGTTGAGAGTTCTCGCCCGTAAATACTGTCATTAACACGGAGATGTAATACGGCGTGATTGCCAGTAAATCAATGATGTTCAGGGGTCTCTTGACAAACTCACACTTGTTTTTGGAGACGATGAACCTCACAATGCATTCTGCAGTGAACCAACCTATGCAGATAGCTTCAATTATCCTGTCAAGAGAACAAAAGAAGAATTGATCATTTTATTTTTAAGCATTTTAATAGCTCTCAGATTTCTTCAGATAGTACTACACTGACATACACATTTAGTTACCTTTCCAGAAAACATAAAAGAACAGACGGCATTACCAACATCATCAGACTCACCGGGATGCAACAGAACAACAAATACATCAACAAATGAAAACTGAACTTAATGAAGTTCTTATTTATATATGGCAGGTAATAGCATTGAAAAAAACATTTGTTTGCTTGTTGTCACTAATACTTAAAAAAAAAATCTATCTCTTACTTGTTGGCTTGAAATTAACTTATACTCAGCTCGCCACACTATGAAATGTTATTCCATGAGGGCAGTGGTTCTCTACTGTGATGTAAGGTATTAGGTAGGTCAGAAGGACTTGGTTCCTACAGACAGTGGACACACCCAAGTTTTCAATGATTTACTTCTTGGTAAATAGGAGTGAACTCAATATCATCTCCGAAAATGTTACTGTATTTTTTTTTCCTACAGGCTGTGTGGGAGACACTGAATCTGAGCCTGCCTTTTGGGCTTTTCAGGAATGCCAGTGCCCTCACCAGGAGAGCACCAGGTCATGACCATCCTCATCACAAGCGTTACAGTGGAAAAAAGGCTGAGGAATCCTGCAGTGGAGCAAAACAATCACTAAGACCCAACAAGTTTGTTTGTTTGTTTTCCATAGCTATTTTGATTCAACATGTATCTTTAAAATATAGGGCCATGGACTTTCCTGGTGGCGCAGTGGTTAAGAATCCGCCTGTCAATGCAGGGGACACAGGTTTGAGCCCTGCTCCGGGAAGATCCCACATGCCGTGGAGCAACTAAGCCCGTGAGCCCCAACTACTGAGCCCGCATGCCACAACTACTGAAGCCCAAGAGCCTAGAGCTCGTGCTCCACAACAAGAGAAGCCACGGCAATGTGAAGCCCACACACCGCAGCGAAGAGTAGCCCCCGCTCGCCGCAACTAGAGAAAGCCCGTGCACAGCAACGAAGACCCAACGCAGCCATAAATAAATAAATAAATAAAATATAGGGCCACATTTAACCTAGAGCAGTATTTACCAACCCTTCCATGTCACTGCACACGTTGAAAAGAATATTACCTACATAGCCTACTGGCGTCAAGGGGTAGCATTCCTGAAGTGGAAGCCACCAGCCTCGCCCCACACTCCCCAAGGCTGAGGAATTAAACCTCAGCACAGTGGTTAGGAAGCCCTGACCCAGAGTGAGAGGTAATGCTAAGGTAATTTTTAATTAAATTACACTTTTTTATTTGTAAATATTTTTATTTCAGTTATTTCATGCAGTAGCTTTAGAAAAGAAAATGCACTACAGTACATGTCTGTACAGTACAGTACAAATATGACTAATAAAATGTTTTAAACATGGCATTTAAAAAATTATAATTAAATTACATTTTAAAATTCAAATTTAAAGTTACAGTCCTTATACCATCATTCATTTTTCTCCACATAATTCTGTCTTACTATTGACCTAGAACCAAACATGAGAAGTATGATGGAGAGAGAAGAAAATGTAGCAGGTGGGATGGTAAGGTCTGTGGGGCAACATTTTGAAAAGAAGTACCCAAAGTGCATGGCACAGAACACAGATTGCACTGAATGCTTCTCAGGGAAATGAATAAATAAAATTAACCATGTTCCCCTACTATGGAGGTTCCTAGGGCCACAGAGATTAATTTGATTTATGTCTTGAATAGGTCGTACATTCACATGGTTTAAATTTCAAAGGTTAAAAAAAAAAAGAGTACAGAAAGAAAATTCTCACTCTCACCCTATTCCCCAGTCACTTGGTTCCCCAGTATTCACTCCAGTCCCAATTCCTCACTGGTCAGAAGGGCAAGAACCACTGACCAACAAGAAAGTGGTAACTTGAGTATATTAACTCCCTGTGGCTGCTGAAAAAATTACCACAGGGCTTCCCTGATGGCGCAGTGGTTGAGAGTCCGCCTGCCGATGCAGGGGACACTGGTTCGTGCCCCCATCCGGGAGGATCCCACATGCCGCGGAGCGGCTAGGCCCGTGAGCCATGGCCGCTGAGCCTGCGCGTCCGGAGCCTGTGCTCCGCAACGGGAGAGGCCACAACAGTGAGAGGCCCACGTACCGCAAAAACAAACAAACAAAACAACAACAACAAAAAAATTACCACAAACTTGGCGGCTTAAGACAACAGAAATTTATTTTTTCACATACCCAGAGGTCAGAAGTGCAAAATCATTATCATTGGGCCAAAATCAAGTGTTAGTAGGGCCCACTCCCTTCGGAGGCTCTAGGGGAGAATCCATTCCTTGGCTCTTCCAGCTCCTGGTTGGCATTCCTTGGCTTGAGGCCACATCACTCCTATCTCTGCCTCTGTGCTCACCATGTCAAATCTCCCTCTGCTTCCACCTTGTAAGGATACACATGATAGCATGCAGAGCCCCTGCGATAATCCAGGACAATCCCCATCTCAAGATTCTTAATTTAATCATATCTGTAACATCCCGTTTGATATCTAAGGTAATATCCACTGGTTCCCAAGGATTAGGACCTGATATCTTTTGTGGGGAGGGAGGGATTATTCTTCAGCCTACACACAAACTAAGCAAGAAGATACAGCCCACAGTGAAAGTAATCCAACCTACCGCCCAGTGAGGAAGATCAGCAGATGAGGTCACAGCTGCCCCTATTTCTTTCTCTAGTGTATTACCTGCCGTTCTGCACAGAGACCCCATTACTCTGTGGTTGGCAGCAGCTTCTCTATCCCCACCAGGCTGTCAGTAAAAGCTGCTGCCATAATGACCTCTATGAACCTGGAGGCTTAGAAAACTGGGAGGGTAATGAAACTTGGTAGATCTAGAAGATAGGAGGCTGCATTTTTTCAATATTCAGTTTTAATAAACATATTAAAGGCATCCCTTCTCCCTGGTAATGCTCATCAAATACTCCATATGTTCCCCCATATTTCTAGCCCCTTGCAGTTAGGCAAGGTCACGTGACCAGTTCTGATCTATGAGCTGTGGGCAAAATGACTACAGTTCTGGGCAGAGGCATGGAAGAGTAGGTGTGAATTTTCTTCCCTGCCACGGCAACCTGAAAGGCATGTGTCCTAAGTGGCTCCAAGAAGGTGGGGTCCCTACCAGCTCAAGTCACTGAGTATATGTTCAAAGAAAGACAGACATTCCCCATCCTGACTCTGATTGGACATGGGACATGGTATGTGAGCAACCAATAAATCCTTGTTGTGTTAAGCCACCAGAATTTCTAAGTTGGTTGCTATCCTAAGTAATAAACTGGTAAATTCAGTAAGTAATAAGATACACACTCAAAAAGGATTGCAAGAGCACAAAGCAGTCACAGCAATAGTGTTCTCTGATCGGCTGTGGTTTTTATCAGTTCTCGAGCTAAAGTACTGTCTCTTCTCTAGCCAGACATGAGCAAGAGCACTAGACCTGATGCTGGGAGCCCTGCTGCTCTTCTCACTCTGATCTTCTAAGGGATCTCCCAGCAATAAAGTCCTAAGATGCTATTAAATTAAGAAGAGTAGGGGCTTCCCTGGTGGTGCAGTGATTGAGAATCCGCCTGCCAACGCAGGGGACACGGGTTCGAGCCCTGGTCCGGGAAGATCCCACATGCCGTGGAGCAACAAAGCCCGTGCGCCACAACTACTGAGCCCACGCCACGACTACTGAAGCCCATGCGCCTAGAGCCCGTGCTCCGCAACAAGAGAAGCCACCACAGTGAGAAGCCCGTGCACTGCAACGAAGAGTAGCCCCCGCTCTCCACAACTAGAGAAAGCCTGCGCGCAGCAACGAAGACCCAACACAGCCAAAAGATTTTTTAAATAAATTTATTTATTTATTTTTGGCTGCACTTCAGTAGTCGTGGGGCGGGCTCAGTAGTTGTGGCTCGCGGGCTCTAGAGCGCAGGCTCAGTAGCTGTGGTGCACGGGCTTAGCTGCTCCGCGGCATGTGGGATCTTCCCGGACCAGAGATCAAACCCGTGTTCCCTGCATTGGCAGGCGGATTCTCAACCACTGAGCCACCAGGGAAGCCCATGAAGAGTAAAAATTTTAATTGTGCCAAAAACACCAGAACATTTTCAGCTAATTACTTCCACCAGAAGCCAAATTGTTCAGATTAAAAAGGAGGAAATCCAAATGACACTAAATAATCTCTCAGTAAGGGAATTTCAAAGAGGTAAACCCATCTGTAATGAGGCCCACGGGGCTCCTCCTGCCCACCCCCCAAGTCAGACACAATTTATCCAGAATTCCACGCTAAGGAGATGAATAAGTGAGAAACCCCAGGCATCCCTCTTTCACCCAGGATTATGCCAAGGCATTCTCCAAAAACAAACACCACTAAGCCTGCCAAAACTCCCCATGTTTCCAAATGACACTCTTGCCAGTGCCACCTCCAGCAACTGCTGGAAAACTTAAGTGCTGTGTTTTACTGAGCACTACAGCAAATGACTGGGCACTCCGAGGTCTACTTCTATAAAAAACAAACTGAAAAAAAGAACGGAAGAAGATACTGAGGATACCAGAATCCTTTGAAGCCCATTCTGATTTCTTTTGAGACCCAAACAAATAGAAGCTCATGAATTCACAGCTAAATATATATATATACATATATATATATAGAGAGAGAGAGAGAGAGAGAGAGAGGGAGAGGCCTTTCAGTTGAGTACTGTGCTAAGCACTTTGTAGACATCATCTCATTTAACCCTTTTCAAGAACTTTATGGAGTGTGTCCTTCCCCTAATATCCCCATTTTACAGATGACAAAACTGAGGCTGAAAAGTTAAACATCTCTTCTAAGATCACACAACTAAGAAACTGCAGTGCCATAGCTAATGAAACCCAGATCTATTGGGCTTTGAAGCACTAAGGAACATCTGAAAATGCTAATGATTTTTATGACAATGTTCATTGTTAATATTAAATTATATACGTCAATCTCTTGGT